TGCAAATTACAATGGCAATACATATCACTTGATTGTTAAAAACTGCAATCATTTTTGTGAGGATATTTGCTATAAGCTAACCGGGAAACACATACCGAAATGGGTGAATCGGCTTGCGAGAATAGGTAACCCGGCATATGTATAAACATCAAGTTTTCTACTTACCAAATCTACTCAAAACTGTATGCAGAAGATTCATATTTTCTTTCTCACTTCGTTCCTTTCCCTCGTTTTATCGATACGCCCTTGAATCATTCTCTACACTTTTGTTGTAGGATATTTATGTAACTGCATGCTTCCCAATGCCCTCAAGACTTCAACTGTTCCACAAGATTCAAACTTTCGAGGATTCGACAGCGAGAAGAAGCGATCACAAAGCACCTTCGGTTGCTTCTCATCAATCTCAATGCATCAACGGGAAGTTTCAATGTCTTCATTGTTTCTTCACTCCCATTATAAAGGCTGCCTGCCACCATGGGAGCTGAAAGGTTCGAAAAGTCGGTCGAGGAAGGAACGCTGACAAACGCTCCTCTTGCTTCTTTGCTGCCATTTTTGAACCAGGTGAGGATAATTCACCATTTTGGCAGAGAAGATTTGTAGGTGCAATGTTTGTTCTTTAGTAGTTTTCTTTTAAGTTTGTGTTAAGTTTAGAGGTATTCATTTTGTATGTTATAGCACCACAGCAGTTCATAGTAATCCAACAGATGCCTGTTTTTTTTTTACTGTATATTTACCCTTGTCTTTTTATAATATAGTTTTTTGGGGGGTGAAAGAGTGAATCTATTTATACAGTTCAGTTCAAAATCTTCTTCTCTGTTTTATATTACTTCCATTACTAGTTTTACCACAGCTTAATGTTGGAATTGTCTCAAATCATGCTAAATTCAAAGAGATTGTAACTATGGAAACAATTCTTGAATTGAATTTTCTATATAATAGGTAAGATTATTATCATGTGAGAAACAAAGTAATGGATTTGAAAAATTAAATCGTCATATAAATTTGTTACTTAAAAAGCCTTGTTTAAGAACTGGCTTCAACCGAGAAACTTAAGAAAAATATGTTTGGATAACTCTTGACTAGTTATTCATAGATGACTTGATTTTTAAAATGAGAAAGAAATCCTTTCAAAACCGATCATTTGTACTAAAGATTGACTTCCACAATCCATCTAATCACCATTTTTAAATAATTTTCAAACAAAAAAATACAAAAATTTTATGAACATAATTTACCAACAAACAGTTTGAGAAACTAAATAGAACCTCAAAAAGTTTTAGAGATAAAATATTTAGACATCAAAATGAAATAAATATGTTAGAAACCAAAATTTGTATTAAAATTTTTCATYGTGTCAAAATTTTACAAATAGAAAACTAAAAGTTACTTTTTAAACGTACAAAAACTAAAATAAACAAAAGTTGAAAATACGATGACGAATTAAAGTTGAAATTATGTAGACTAAAATATATATTTCTTTTTTTAATATCCGTGTTCGGACCAGCTTGCGCGCACTTCGACTGCCTAACCCTACTACATTTTGTTGACAGAATAACTCGTAGGATATTAAATCCTAGATATGTGACCACCATAGTTTGAATCTATTCTCTCTTAGCCCTTTGCTATTTACATTGGCCCTTATTGACCACTCATCTATGATGATTCGTGGACTAAAAAATATTTAAATCTAAAATTTAAATAAAAACAAAAATAATATATATATGCCAAAAGCTCATTATTATTCCCATTCCATTTTCTGTTCTCTCTCTAGGATTAGAAAGAAGCCATGTTACTTCCCACTAAACTGTTCCCTAAGATTTCTCACTTTGCCCAAAAAGCTTTTCAATCACACAATCATTGCAGCAACAGAATCAGAATGGGCATTGAGAAAAAGGGTCTGACCAGAGAAGTTAAAAATGAAAAACTTTCCCATCTCATGATGCTGACAAAATGAGAAACTAACAGAGATTTTACAAACTTGAGATGTATAAAATCTTATGTGATTCAATTTGGTAAATTTACATCCATAGTAGTAGAGACTCAGAAAGAAAAGAGATGATGAGGCTCCAAGAACATACCTTGCACTTTTGAACTGATAGGAAAAGAGCAATCTGTCATTTTCAAGACAAATTAATTAGAAGATATACATACACAGATAAGAGGTTCAGTTTCCAGTCCAACTTCCAGCAATACACTTTGAGAGAATTTGAAACCAATACTGCAAACACACAACAAAGTTCCACCAGCATCACAAAGCACATCACGTCGTGTCGATGATGAGATAGTCCTGTTAAACACGTTACCTTACCAGAAAGGCTCGAAGACCTCGCCAAGTCCATGCTTCAAATGATGTATCTTCTGGTGCTTTACAAATTCATGTAGAATCTACATGCAACGTGTGAAGAAAGTCTGCCCAACGTAGCCCCCAGCCATGGCTCTTCTCACATTGGATTCGAACAACTTGGGGTTATCCCTCAAAACAGCAGCAGCATCATGATTGAGGGGATCTTCATGATTTGGTTGCTGCAAGAATGATGGGAAAAATATTGTAATTAAAGAAAACCCCCCACAAGTTGGTGAACGTTAGGTCTAAATCTTATATCGTTCCTCAAATTTTTATGCGTATACCATTTTTGTCCCAACTTCATTCTGGTCTCGGAAATTCACATAAAAAAAACTGTCTTTATTGTTAATTTTGCTTTTGTAAATTATTTTATAGAAACTTGACATAGATGTATATTTATGCGTCTTTGGTTACTTGATGAGTAGATATTTGCAAATATTTGAAGCTACACATGCAGTAGGGTCAGATTTTGAGTTCCAAACAAGGTTCAATTATTTTTTTCGAAATGATTAGTGGAAATAAAGATCGATGGCATAACTAAAATACCATTTATACAAAGTTTAGGAATTAGAACAAAACATTAGGAAGTTGAGTGACAAAACTAATTGAAAACTTAGGAACTATAACCAAATAAGTATGAAAATGCAGGACCTAAATAGATTTTAAACCTAAAGGCTAAAATTTAAGGGTATATAATTGGCACAATCATAAATACCGTGAAAAGATGAAATAATCCGTATATTATGGTGTTGATATTCAGAACGGGCTTCCAGTCCTCTCTTAAAATATTGAGGCAGACATTTCCTTCCAAGTCAATATTAGGATGATACACCTGCAAGTCAAATATGTTATCTAAAGCTAATTCCAAACATTAACAATAATAAATAAATAAATAAAACGAAAGTCAATGAATCAGATCAGCATCATTACCTTTGTCTTGCACTTCACTTTTGGTGGCTCGTGAGGGTAGACAGGGGAAACTTGGAAAGAGAATAGAAACGTACCACCTCTGTTAAAATGAAATTAAGAGACTTTTTAAGCTCATTACCAAGGAACGGCCGCAGCGGGTGGAGGGGGAACAGACATCTTAACCAAGAAATGATTATTAGAACATGAAAAAGCAGGCAAGATTCAATACACAACTTAAATACAGTTGAACCAAGTCCAATCCAAAGTTCCATTGAGGCCTCATGGAGAGAAATAATATGACATCCATGCATATATCTTCAGCTCCCATTGTTTCAGTCATAAGATGCATGTCTGAGATCCGGGAATTGTAATGTCTTTTAACACATGCATCTCAACTTAAGAAGTATATATTGCAACTAAACTGAAAACCAATCTTTTCAAGAGACTACTTACAGATAATATCCTTCATCAGGATGAATAGTGACCTCAAAGTTCATCAAGTCATCCTTGCCATTAGGAAATGATATACTACACGTTTTCGGTAGGTTCAATTCACTGATATCTACAATTAAAAATAAAAATCCTTGAACTGCATGTATAGCCAGAAGACATATTTTTCTAGAAGTTGCTGTAACATCAATGTCATTGGTAGATAGCCATGTCATTTCACAGCGAATAGAAATTTTGATGAATGTTTAAATCATATTCACACATGTAGGATAAGATAAATTTCACTCATCAGAGGAAGGAAAATACAAAAAGAAGATAAAGAAACATCTTCCACCCAAAGCCACATAGATAATAAGAAGCTGTTCCAGTTGGCCTTAATATTAAATTTATTAATAAAATAAATAAATAAGTAAACTAGAAAAATTGCAAGACTTTTAGAGAGAGTATACCAAGATGAAGCTAGTAATAAACCAGTGTCAAGTAAAATGTAAGAGTCTTGACTGCATTATGTCACAGGATACAAACCCTGCCTTTGTAATACTGTTCACACGAAAGCTGCTGAAGGATTTCTCTATAATCATTGGCTAAAACAACCAATTCTAGACTGATTAACAATAAATTCCAGCAAAAAGAGGAAAATCAACAGAGTAAAAGATGATTCAAGTTCTCACGGCCCTGCTCACTATATCATATTTAAAAATTAAAACTAAGAAATACATAACATAAATCTGATCTGAACATGAGCCAAGACAATGGATGCTATTAAATACAACAACAATAGGATTTTCAGAAAATGGTTCTAAACAAACCGTAGAACTCATGGCTTCAAGGTCAACAGTAGTCAATATGGAATGAGACTAATCAATCAACTTTTAGGAGAGGGGAGAGATTGTTTCCTTCGTTCAGGGTACCTCAAAAAACCTAATAAAATCACAACAGTAGAGAAAATTAAAATTAATGTGAAAGAATACCTTTTTGAAGACGCAACTCTCCTGCACTTTGCTTCTTGACAGGGGGTTTCCCATTGGCATTCTCTGCAATCTCTCTCTGCTTTTCCTTCACCTTAAAAAGCTTAATCATCGTTCCTGCATTGCAGTTTCAAAAATAGGACATCAATTTTACAGCACTACCAGATCTAAGTAGTACAAAGCTTCTAATCTGAATTTAGGAAGCACGAGAATTTGAAAAAGTTGAGAATCATAGATTCGGCCAACTCAGTATTAGCATTCTAATACATATCAAGACCCTCAAACACCAAGGACTTAAACTGCCCAATCAAATCATAACACTGATGGTCATAAAATGCACTTTTGAACCAGTGACTTGAAATAGCAGACTTACGGCCTAACTACATTTATTACAGTTATGATAATGACACCATGGATGATTGATGAAGCAAAATCGACATTCCTAAACAATCGTACTAACAACTGCTATAATAAAATCGAAGGAAACCCCAAACTTCCTGAGAAAAATTCCCTAGCATTTTCCAGGCAGCATACCACATCTATTACCAATACATCGCTCACATAACTATCTAATCAAGCCAAGCATCAACTGGATCAGAATACCTGATCATGATAGCAAACACCAGATATCTGGTGCCGTATGCCAGCAAACTCAAGTATCAAAACACACAAACAAAACAAAAAAAAAGATAAACGCGTTAACTTCCTCATCCGCAAGTAGACGAGATGCAAAACACTCGAGGTATCAAAACAACTAAAACAAACCGCGAATATACACACAGAACATTATAGAATCTCAAATCAAAGAACCACGGCAATTAGGATCTCACCAAGACACAGCAACACGCACAATCAAGACATGATTCATCGATTACATATAAAAAAACGAACGGAAAAATGAATGAACAGCAATCCTGGATCAATCAAGCGTAAAACAAAACGAAATAAACCAGAAAAGAAAAACGGACGCGATCGCAATACAAGAAATCGAAAGCGCAGAGAGTCGGAGGCGGATGCTTACCTCGATTTCAACCTGGATTTGAACGAGCACAGAGTCTGGAGAGGATAGAGCTGAAGCAGGCCCGAAAGCGTGTAGAAAGTGAGAGAGAAAGAAGGAGGGAGCTGGATTTGATTCGGAACTCACTCTCCCTCTCTCCCTCTCTCTCTCTCTCTCTCTCTCTCTGTGTCTGTGTCAATTATCGTCGTACGCTGTGCAGGCCAAAGCCGGGCTCCCTTCGCTTTCGAGTTTCGACCGAGGACCGGCGTCATCCGTCTTATTACAAAGCTTGTTCGGACGGGACGGCCAATCAGAGAGCGCCACGAAGGACGGTGAGTGACAGCTCGGTCGATTTACTGCGACACTGCGCCGTTTACGGGACCACCGGACCAGAGAATAGAGATGTGTGGAAGCTATCTCCAGTTTCATGGTTCACGTTTGTTCTTCTGCACCCGCAGTCGCACCATACTTTTCATTTTTCTCACTCTTTGCTAAAAAAATAATAATAAATTCGTTTCATTTATTTGAGAATTTTGAATTTCTAAATCTTTAATTAGTTGTACAAATTTGATTCGTGAATTCTTTTTTTCAAATACAATAAATTAGGATTCGAACCTCTCTAACAATAAGTACATGCCCGCATTTGATTTGTTAATTAAACATGTAAAAAATTCATTTGGTTTTGGCTTGGACATAGTCCATGTGAATTGCTTTTCGAGTTGTGGAACTTCTAAGAGGTAGGTTTTTTTTTCCGTAATTACAAGGCAATTATTTAAAAAATTCATGTATGTTTTTTAGTGTTTTTATCCTACCTAAAAATAGTTCTTCATCAAAATTATCATATTTGAGAATAATGTAAAAGTATTTTTTGAAAAGTGACAAACATTTTAAGTTTGTTTTTTTTATTTATTAATAAACACTTACAAGCTATTTTTAGTCTAAATATTTTATGGATAAAAAATTTTAAAAATAGATCAAAAACTCTCGTTAAAAGATTTTAAATTAAAATATTTATTTTAAAATTACCCTCGAACACGCTTAAAATAATTAAAGTGTGACACACGATGAATACCTAGTACCGTTCTTCAAAAACGTATACTACCGATAAACATTGTGAGATTATTTTTGAATCAACTACAAGGGAAGGATCTATATGAAATGTTTGAGGTAATATTTCTCTATACTAAAATTCCATAATGCTTTATTTTTTTTTGGATCTATTTTTACAATTTTCACTTTAATTGTCTCCATTGTTGTACTATATGTCTATTTTTACGCAATATTCAATTATGTTAATGTGGTTAGATATCCAATATATGAATTAAATTTACTCAACTCAACAGCTTAAGTTTTGGGTTGGGGTGGTTTATTCATCCTTAAAAACAATCAACTCCATTTGTCTCAAAAATGTTTTGGTCCAAGATGACAAAAAAAATCTAACGTCAACTATATGTTGAAGACAACGGAACTCTACATATCTCTACAGTTATATGATATTATCAACTTTGGGCGTAAGTGCTAAATAATTGAGATAATTATCTTTACATATATACAATGGATCCCCTCCTTTCCAAACCAATATGAGACTTTGTTTGCACACTTTTAACAACCTTCCCCTTAAACAAAGTATTACACTTTGTATTTAGCTTCGAAAGTCATTCATCCCTCCACTACTGACGAATAATGAGAGCTTGCTCTTATCTATGGCTAGTAGCATATCCAAATAGAGTGCAATCACGAAATCCAGTGTGGTAGCTTGCTTTTATTTTACTTGATCTAATAGAGTATGTCTTGCTCACTACTTTGAACACTTTTTATCCGATCTAAAGATACATCCAAAATTCCCTAAAAACTGGGAAAAGTAAAATGAAAATTCTACTCAATTTTAACAATACAAGCGCAAAACTCACTAATGTTATAAATTATTTAATTTAGGTAAATGTTGCTTTTAGAGATAAATGGATGAAAAAAGTGAAAAAAAAATAATTTAATTTGGTCAAACAATGCGGCCGTTTGTGCCCAATAATACTCTTTGGGAATTTTAAATCAAAGGTACACTTTTATAAGGGCATTTTGCCCAATAACCCAATCAAATTCCCTACCCTAAATTATCTTTATTTTCATTGCTTAATTAGCACTTAAGAGGATATTATGCATACTTATAATCAATATGAGATTTAATATTATTGTCTCAATTTTTTATTGAACCGAATTGTTTTTTATTTTTCGAAATTTTTGACACGTGTAAGAAGATGGAGGCTGGAGGTGTAGTAAGAGATGATGGAGCTGCAGAGCAGCAGATTTGACACCTATGGCCTAATGAGTTGGTGACTTAGCACAAGCTTACCGGGAACCGGTTTTGCTGGTCTTCACTATTTCTTATTTGTTCATTCTCTCCCTCAGAAGTTAGTCTAATAATTAGGCATTGATTAATCCACTAGCGTTTCATGAGCACGAGGTCATTTTTGGTATTTTTTGTGTCCCTAGGCTTTAAATTTAAATTTAAWTTTTTTTTTTACTATTTATTTTGTGACCAATCTTGTTCTTACCTCGGTTAAGTATTTGATAATTAAGARAGAAAAATGTAAAAGTACCTCTTTAAAAAAATAATTAATTTTCAATTTTTCAATAGTGAAGACGAGATTTGGTTAAGTAGTTAAGTATTTTACTTTATTTTGGTCTCAATCCTTTTAAAAAGTGATAATTTAAGTCTTTATATACAAAAGTTTTAACACAAATTCTACCTATAATAAAAAAATCTTTAATATAAAGTCATGGTTAAGTTTCAAAAAATATATTGAGTGTCGTGTCGTGTTGAAATTGTGATAGAAAAACGAGATTAAAAATAAAATTAAGGAACCCGAATGATCCATTTTTGAAATTACAGAAACCAAAACGAACATTTTTAAAGTACAATGACTAAAATGAACTAAAGTTGAAAGTACATGAACCGAAATAAACATTTTGAGTGTACATGAAYTAAAATAAACAAACGCTACACGGAACAAAGAGGTATTTTAGCTTATTTTATTTTAGTCATTAAATTTTGTATTAAAAAACAATTTTAATTATTCTTATTAATGATTTTTTTAATACAAAAAACGTAGGATGATAGATTGAACCTCTAACCTCTATAAAATGACAAGATATCTTAACTGTTGAGCTCACATTTATTTATTTATTTATTTATTTATTTATTTTATTATTATTATTATTTTAGCATATCACCTACCAACTACTCATACCCTTTCAAATACTTAATTTATGTGTACATTTTTAAAGAGAAACTTATAAAAGAAGTTACAACTATGCTAACATGCACTTACTCATGAGTAAATTAATAAAGCATGTAATTATGTCAGCTTTGTAGGCTTTAATCTTAGTTAATTAATTAAATTTTAATGATAACAAATATTTAGTGGTAATTATTTTTTGTGTGTTAGAATTATTTTTTTGAAACATAACTTTATTACGAGCTTCAATTAAACTACATATTTTRATCATTATAAATCTTTAAATTAATTATAATTTTTTTTATTTTTGAGATGTCCATCTTGTATAGCCCGAAAAGACAATTCAAACGATTTTTTAATCACTCGATTYGGAGTGTAAATGAATAAGTTATAAGTTAAATAAGATTGAAAAGAAAAATCATGTACATGCCATCTACATGGACAAGTGGACTATTCATAAGTTGACACATCGTCGTCGTGCTGACATGGCATTCGACATGGAAAATGACATGGCGCTCAACTGTCATATTTTGATGACATTGACGAATTAGATAGCAGCACGTATATGACTCGGTTGATGCAACCACAACATGACAACGAAAGATTTTTCTATCCTCTCGTAGACCCGTCCCCAAMGGAGGAGCAGTTGTGCTTGCGGCAACCCATGCTTAGATTTGCATCAATTCCTCCCTCAGGCAACAGTCTGGTGCGAACCCTTACTTGATCCAACTCAGATCTGATCTTAGTGTTTTTTTTAAGAGAAAATATATGTTAGGTATATTTTTAACTATATAGAGTATATGTTGGTATATACTTTTTATAATTAAATCATGTATATACAATATATGTTGGATATCTTATGGAGTATATATTAATATATGTAACACATTGTGGCATATTATTATCATAATGTAAGTTTGATAAAAAAAAAAGTATATTTTATGTAACCTATTAGGTTATAATATAACAATGAAAAATATATATATTATACAACCTAACATATTGTATATTATAAAAATAAAATGAGAAATATATTACATAAGGGTAGTTAGAATATATTATATAATCTAATAGTTTAGTATACTGAGTATATGTTTATCATCCATAAAAGGAAAAATAGTATATTTAAAAAAGCAAAAAAGAGAATGGCGGTTGGTTCAATTTTCGGACAGAAATCACCATAAATGCAATAATCCAACAATAGAAGGAATACAATTTCTAAAATATCCTGCACAGGAAGAATGAAAAAAGGCAAAAAAAAATAAAAAAATAAAAAAAATACAGGTAGTTTGTACGGGGAGGAAGAGGGCGGGATTTTTTTAAATTTGATTACAAAGATTTGAAATTATTATTTTATTAACATATTTGAACATGATGATGTTTCCTAATAAGTCTATCTTCAAAAACAAGATTTTGAGTTCTACTAATATCTATCCTTCCATTCACATTTTGATACATCATTAAGTAATATGCTACTTTATTTATATGATCTACATTATTTTTAAATATTACTTTAATAGCCAACCATGAATAAATGTTGTAGGGAAAAATTTCCATTCTAATGTAGTACTATAATTTTTCTTGAAATTATGGCAGGTTGTTTGTTTTCAAGTCAAGCTCCGTATCTCTCTCTCTTTTTAGGTTGGCATAACTAAGAAAGAGAGTGCCAAGAAACAAAACATACCCATCACTTTTGGAAGGTTCGGGATCGTCAGGGAGCCCCTAATAGACTTGACTTCACTGAACCGTCACTATCACTACTCTTTGTCGGCTTCTACCACTCGTCCCTCGTCTGCTCGTCGAGTGCGTCCCTGGCTCTTGCTCGTCTAACGTAGCCGATCGAGTTTCTTCGTCCCTCTCCTGCTTATTGATTAGGGCGAGTCACTCAAGTCCTTTGGCACTCGTTCCTCTTTTCTTTTACGAAAATTTCGGGGTTTATGCGTTTTTCGGAAACTCAAGTAGCTCATCAAGCTAAAATTAGAGGAGTTCCCTCACTACCAAAGATATGTAACGGATGACGTAAGATCAAGAAGTTCATAGTGGTTGGTGACTCAAATTTGGCGGTTCGACAGATAGACAGATGGGACACTCGCACTGAAGAAGATTTCCCTAGCACTTTATCAGTTCCTTGTGCTGAAGCTGTGTAATGAAATTGATGTGGAATTAACCCATGTTAACACGTCAACCAATCACATGCTGATTCTTTGGCCACTCTAGCTTCAAAGATCAAGTTCGAAGATGATGAAGTTGTCATTAAGATCAGCAAGCGACAAACTCCAGCTTATGGAACTTTAACGATAAGCTGCCCGACAGTATGGAGTACTGACCACACCGAAGGACAGGCCCTGGAGCGAAGGACAGGAACGAGCGGAATC